GCCTCCAGTGTTGACCATTTAATGATGAATGGAGGGCCTATTCCTGCCTGGGAGCAATTGTTTAATCTCTAAACTGGATGAGAAGGTGTCAGCCTGCCTGGTTGGTTAACCAGTGCAGGCCAATTAGGGGCGGGGAGGTATTTCCATCAGCACTAATCTGTATATGATCAAGAGACTGAACATAACACCGATGGCTGACCACTGAGAGTCGCTCTCTCTGCCTCCTCTTGACCCCCATAACTTAACACCTCCTGACATCCATTGTCCTTTGATTGGCCAACAGTGAATTCTTGTTAGCGAAGAGTTTCTCAATCATGATCATAACACCAGTAGAAAGCCTATCAGATATCAGTTAACTGCCTTCATTGTCGGGCTCTGGAAATTGCTCCCTCAGCCTCTGCTTCTTTCAACTTGCTTTTTGTCCTTTGTGGTGCTCCTTAAAAGCTATTTCTTTCACCACATCTTTTAGACATCTGCCCTAATATCTCCTAATTTTGGTCTCTGTCAAATTTTGTTTCATTCCTCTCCTGTAAAGCATCTTGGGACATTTCACTGTTTTTTAATTTTATTTTTAAAGGTGCTTTATAATTAAAAGTTGTATATAAGATGGAAAAGATGTTTATCCTAAATTCTTGGTACTCACTAAGATTTGATTGAGCTAAATTTTAAAGTAAAGAATTTACACAAGAATAGTTCCAGAAAGGTTTACGAGTTACTCTTTAGAACTATAACCAACACTTTACACATTGAAAGCTACATGGACTGAATGAGTGATTTAGGCTTACAGAATACTGCTTTCTCATTGAAGGTAACCCCATCCTAAATTTGATGTAAAGAGATAGGGAAGAAGAATGCAGCAACTGGAAACCTGCAACAAACCTTGCTAGAGGTGCTCAGCTAGTCAGACATCAGCTGTTTTTTCTCCGAGTCATGCTTCTGTTACTCTCTACTATTTACCATTTATCTAGGTTTAATAGGAATTTACTGGTTAATTGGTGATGTTGTCTCTATCAAATTATCGTTGGTTAAAACAAAAACGGTCCTTAGTTTCTTGTGAGTTAGCAGTATTTTGTATTGTACATCGTTTGAGATAATCATTAAAATTTCTATTAAAGCTTTTGGAGATTAATATCATGGACCTTTATAACAGTAGAAAGAAAATACTGGTGTACTGACCAGAAGATTTTAATCTCCATTTGAGAGGTGATGTCAATGAATTATTTAATCACTATTGCCAATTATATTCTCTGGCGATGTAAGCTATTCTATCAGGCCCTCCACGCTGTCTTGATGCAGCCTTTGTTACAGTTGTCATGAGAATTGTCTTTGACCATTATTGTAGGGAAAGAATCGTCCTCATACACTAAATAAAATGTTGCTGATGGGTATGGAGTAACAGAGAGATCTCTGAATACAGATACACATTTCTCCACAGTTGAGGTATGTTGAGGCAGTTCGTATCGAGATAGACCAAAATCATTAAAAATTTGTGGCTATATATCGGGAGTTCAGATCATATGAGGCAAAAGCTAATAAGAAGACTGTGCAGGAAGTTTAAAGCACAATTAGTGTATTGGGCTTAGCTTTGAGCACTTTAATATAGCTACAGAGGATATTCCTCAGTTCAAATTCTTTGCACAGAGGCAGGTCCAACCCACGCTGTTGAGATCTCCATCTCCAGTAGGGTGAGGAGAAAGGTCCTGAATCCACCCCAACTAGAATCGAAATTGAAGCTCATGTTGATGGCACCAATTTGATCCACTCTGGCTATCCAAGCAACTGAGCCAACCACTCCTCAATCAGTTTGTGTTTCTCATGATAACTTATACTTTTCATGCATTTTGTAGCTTGGAGCAAAGAATAGCAATGATAGAAGCCCCAATTTCTTCCCATCACATGTCTGACCAGAAATATCTCCAACTCTTTCCACCTGCCGATGGCATATGTCAGAAGGATGTTAAAGTTGATGTTCAAACTGTTTGGTTGTGTTACAAATGCATTAGAAGGTATGAGGCATGGAACAGTCACAATGACAAATAGAGCTACAAGGTCAGACTTAAAGTAACTATGACTGGCTGGAGCAAAGGAAATTTAATAATGGATTTTTTTTTTAAACAAGAAAGGGCCATGACAGAATTATTACAGTAAAACATTACACAACTGTTGAAAATACATGGCAGGTGTATCAACATCTTCAAAGAGAAAACACAAGTTAAGATGTTTCAAGAATTTACCCTTCATCTAATCACAGCCCCTCTGCTTGTGAAACCACTGATATTATCCCTAACTGGAGTAGCATGCTGAAAATCAAGTCCACTATGCTGGAGTAATCTCAAAAGTCAAAGATTATGAAAGTTTGCACACTTCCCCATTTACCTGTCTCTTAGGCCCAGATTGACAGAAAGCATGGACAAGGTTTCTGTGTTTAAGAAGAATTACTATTTATTACAAATAAATGGACTATAATTACTGGGAAAGATTATGAACCTTTGGCAAAAACTCTATGAATCAAAACTCTAACCCTTTTATAAAATCCCCCTTGTGCACACATATAGACCAATGCAGGCAGGGGATAAAAGGGTGTTATAGGCAGAGTGAAAAACTGAGAAATCAGGTCGATGGTCTCTGTTCACAGGATTTGCTGAAATGATTTTTTTCTCATCAAAATGCTGCTTTCTGGTCTTCCTTTCTGTTACCTAGGAAACCAGTCACATAGTTGTTTGCAATCAGAGGCCTTTGTCAGTGATAACTGATCACAAGCCCACAGACCAATCAGCTACTTGTTGCTGGCTGAATCTCCATTTGTGCACAACCCATGGCCCCAGGTTGTCTGTAAATTTTCCATCATTGCTTGAACAAGCAACAGTATAAACAGCAGTTAGCAAGAGTGTCAGAGTAACTGTTTTAACAAGTGCTGTATCCTTCAATAATACTTGGATTTTAAAAAAGTCATTTTCCCTTTTCAAACAACAATTAAAAATTAGATTTTTTTAAAAAAGGATTTTACAATGACAAGGAATTACCAATGCAAAATTGTCAGTAGGTTATGAGAAATTTCTTTGCTTAGAAAGTAAGAAGCAGAGACCATTGTCCATTGTATCTTTTAAGGAAATCTAGTTAAATACCTGATGGATAAGAATGTAAAAGCAGCAGGCTGTATGTTCAAATTTGTACTGAAGCAGCAGAAACCTGTTGCACACACGCTGAACGGAAAAGCTTCCTTCTACAAAGTTGCAAACAAATATATGAATTAGGAGCAGGAGTATGTCATTTAGCCCCTTGAGCCTACTCTGCCATTCAGTAAGATAATGGCAGATCTGATTGTGGCCTCAATTGCACATTTCTAAGCACTTCCAATAACCTATTTAAACCAAACCTCTACAAGTTTAAAGAATACTTGTGCACTTTCCATTAGAAATGAGAAATCATATGTGTACATATCTTTTATTTGAAAGATATAGCATGTTTGGTTTAGCAACTGTTAAATCTTCCTAGATATTTTAATTGTAATTGGTGGTTCTCCATGAGGTAATTTTGTGCAACCTTTGATAGTCTTATGTTTTGTGTAATATTTGACTGTTATAAGGTTCCTGTAACCACACAAATGCAGTAACCATTATCTCACTGTGCTCGAAAAGTGAAATATTAATAGGAGCAGTGTTCATAAAATTACTTCTAGAGATTGGAGAATTCCCATCAGAGTTAACTCTTTGAGCTTAATTACACTGTCTGAGAGCAGACTGTAATATATTCACTTATTTTACTCAGGAGACTCTCATTAATAAGTGGAAGAAGTTATTTCCTAAAATGCAAGGTTTAAATTCAATTAATGATTCATCAGTGATATGTCAAGATCAACTGGCCTGATGTGAGAGTCAATGAGAGAGATTTTAATAATCAGGCAGCTGATAGGTTGAGATGCTCCACCAGTCGAAGGCCAAGTCCATTTTGAGCATCAGGCCTCATTATCATATCATCATCAAACCACAGGAGTCAAAAGGGTACCTGCTGTAGCTCGCCAACTTCAGGCCAGGTGACCGGGCATCCTCACTGGCAGGAATGTAATTCGCATGGGTAAGCGGGCAGTAATTCCTCCTGGCACCATGAAAATAATTGTAAACGTACCTGTTAGGTACTACTTTTGCTTTACTGCACTGAAAATCTGTGTCAAGCACAAACAGCACATAATCTGCCTGGTTGACCATCAAAATTACATTCAGACTCCCAAATACTAGATGGGTTTACTGACTGAAAGAGATGGAGCGGATGAAGTGCCACCAAATACAGGATAATAAGTTGCTTTTCTGATGAAGGGTCTAGGCCCAAAACGTCAGCCTCTCTGCTCCTGTAATGCTGCTTGGCTTGCTGTGTTTGTCCAGCCCTGCACCTTGTTGTCTCGGATTCTCCAGCATCTGCAGTTCCTACTATCTCTAATAAGTTGCTTGTTTGGCTTCTGCAGATTCTTTTACACCAAATAGCCCAAGTTAAAATACTACTCCATAGTTTAGAACTAACCTAGGTTATTAGCAATTTGGTTACTTTTGCTCATATCAATATCTAATACACCAATGTCCTTGAGGGAGGGGAACTGTCATCCTTACCTGGTCTAGCCTACATGTGACTCCAGACCCACAGTGATGTGGTTGAATCTTAACTGCCCTCTGGTCAATTAGGGATGGGCATTAAATGTTGGCCTAGACTGTGACGCCCTCATTGTGTGAATGAAAAAAAAGTAGGCATCAATTATTATGATTCAAAAAATACATACATAAATCAGAATTGAAAAGTAAAATTAGATAATTATGGCTAACAGCTCTTTTTCACAGTGAAAATGCATACAATTAATTTTTAAAAATAATAACCATTGCATTTCATTTGTTTTTATTGTGTGGCTGAATTAAAAGAAAAGCAAGTGCTCATGAATGAAGAATTCTACGTAGATTAAGCACAAAAATGTAATTACTTTGTCTAATGCAGTGTATTTTTTTCATCTTTTATAGGTCTATCATTACTCTTACACTGCATCATATATTATTTATGATATACATACCAGGTCAGTAAAATATCTATTTATGAAGTTATTTCAAAAGTTTTCAAATTTCTTGATATTGTATAAGAATTAAATCTAAGCACAGATTTTAAATGCAAGCGAATATTCCATTTGGTGATGTTAATGCAGATTAAAAGATTTTAAGGACTTTCCATGTGTTTTTTTTTCCTTCATAGCATTTGCCTTCCATATTTTATTATTTTACAGTTGTTTTTCTCTGTATTATCCTCTGCCAATCAAGAATTGATTGGAGAGAGAACAAGAACTATTAGATTAGAGATAGTAAGAACTGCCTATGCTAGAGTCAGAGATAACACAGTGTAGAACTGGAGGAGCACAGCAGGCCAGGCAGCATCAGAGGAGCAGGGCCGGGACCCTTCTTCAGAAATGGGGGAGGGGGAAGGCAGCTCTGAAATAAATAGAGAGGAGGGGTGGGTCTGGGGAAGGTAGGTGGGATGGTGATAGGTGAGTGCAGGTAGGCAGTGGTGGGGATTGGTCAGTGAGGTGGGAGGAGCAGATAGGTGGGAGAGAAGATGGACAGATTTTGTTAGGTCAAGGAATCATGGATGAGAGGGAGGGTTGGTCATGGGATGAGGCCGGGGGTGGGGAGAATTTGAAACTGGTAAAGTCCACATTAAAACCATTGGGTTGTAGGCTCCCAAGGTGGAGAACTATTAGATTTCTTTATTACTTCCAACAAAAAATGTCAATGATATCATATTCACCAATTCCTGCTCCAAGCTACTGAAAAGGCTTTAGAATATAACATTTCAAAAATTAGACCCCTACTTACACTTTTAGTTTGGGATTCGAATGGTGCACTAAATCATAATATGGTTTGTTAGAATAACAAAGAAAGGAATATTCATTAGTTCTGTGGAAGTGATATTAAAATGTTGGGGGAGGCAATGTCCTAGTGGTATTACACCTGGACTGTTAATCCAGAGACCCAGATAATGTTCTGGGGAATCGGGTTCGAATCCCACCGTGGCAGATGGTGGAATTTGAATTCAATAAGTATCTGGAATTAAGAATCTAATGATGACCATGAATCTATTGTAAATTGTTGGGAAAAACCCATCTGGTTCACTAATATCCATTAGGGAAAGAAACTGCCATCCTTACCTGGTCTGGACTACATGTGACTCCAGACCTGCAGCAATGTGGTTGATTCTTAACTACCGTCTGGGCAATAAATGCTGCCTAGCCAGCGACACCCTCGTCCCGTGAATGAATGAAAGATTAATATTTTGGTGGTTGAGCCATATTGTAATGGGGCACAAAAAATAATAAGGTGAATTCTGTCAATAATCCTTTTGCCTTTGTTAAGACGAGGGATAATTAGCATTGAATTTAACTGAATTGATTGGGGCTAGTTTATACGTAAAATTTGGTGTAACACAGCTGGTTTGGATTGGCTAATCCTTTAAAATCACGCATATGCATTCAGAAAGGGGAAAAAGTTGCTCCCCATTCATCTTGTATGCATTTCCCACCATTGTGGCAGTGACAGCTAATTAACAGGACAAAACTTTTAAAATTTATTTCACAAAGGTAGACCCCATTCTATCCAGAAGTATCTTATTCAGGAGCAGTAAATCTTGGGAGTTAGCATGAAGATTGTGAATTATTCACTTAATTTCTGGATTCAAAACATAAGCAAAGGACAGATTTATAGTGGAGAGACACCTGGACAATCTGTACTATTTTTGTAATGAGAATCATAAATCACAGACATCACTGCAGGCTCCCTGACAAATCTATGCATATCTCCTGTCTCTTTAAATTATGTTTTTCAAATATATATTGACTTCCCTTTATAAAATCATTTACGGATGCTGCATCTCTTAATGTTTCTGATGAGGCAGTCCATGTCCAAGCATGCTTTTTTCATTAAAAAGAAGTCTCCTAACTTTTCACTTCATCATTAAATTTATGGCCTATAGTTCTAAGTAAGTAATTTTCCTGTCTTTTCTTTATAGAAACCCTTCATTGTTTTGAATGCTTCTATTAGACCACAAGAGAATAAGAAATAGCAATTAGCCATTCAGCCCCTCGAGCCCACTCTGCCATTCAATAGGATCATGGCTGATCCAAAATTCCTCATGTCCACTTTCTTGCCCTTGTCCCGTAACCCTTCATTCCCCAACTGGTCAATAATCTATCTATCTCAGCTTTCAATATACACAAGGACTCTACCACTACAAGTCTCAGTGGCAAGGAGTTATAAAGACTATCAGCTCCCTGAGAGATAAAATTCCTCCTTATTTTAGTCTTAAATTTGTGCCCCTTTATTTTGAGACTCTGTCCCCTGGTCCTAGACAGACCCATGTGCGAAGACATCCTCTCAGCATTTACCCTATCAAACACCTTAAGATTCCTGTACATTTCAAATAGATCACCTTCATTCTTGTAAACTCCAATGAGTAGAGTGCTAACCTGTTTAGCCTTTGCTCATAAGACTATTCCTCCATACCCAGGATCATCCTAGTGAACATTCTCTGAACTGCCTCCAATGAAATGATATCTTTCCTTAAATAAGGGAACCAAAACTGCTCAAGGTACTCCAGATGTGGTGTCACCAGCACCTTATACAGTTCCAGTAAGACTCTTCTACTCTTGTACTCTAACCCCTTTGAAATAAGGACCATCATTCTACTAGCCTTTCTGATTACCTGCTGCAGCTGTGTGCTAGCTTTCTGTGCTTCACATACAAGTGCTCCCCAGGTCCTATTGTGTTGCAATTTTCTGAAGTTTTTCTCCATTTAAATAATATTCTGCTGTTTTGTTCTCTCTTACATAATGTGCAACATCACGTTTTCCTACAATATACTCCATTTGCCAATATTTTGTCCATTTACCTAAACTATCAGTATCTCTCTATAAACTGTTTGTATTCATCTGACAACCTGCCTTTCCACCTATGTTTGCATCATGTTCAAATTTGGCTACAGCCCATTCATTTCCTTCCTCCAAGTCAGTAATACACATTGTAAACAGTTATGGTTCCTGGACTGATCCCTGTGGAACCCTACTGGCCATGGGTCACCAACCTGCAAAAGAATCCCTGATCCCCACTTGCTATTTCCTACCCATTAGCCAATTCTCTATCCTTGCTAATATACTACATCCAACACCGTGGGCTCTTAATGTACGACTTAACCTTTTGTTAGTTACCTTGTCATCTGCCTTCTGGAAGACCAAATATAACACATCTACTGGTTCCTCTCTATCCACTCTGGTTTAGGTTTCCTTGAAAAACTTCAATAAATTAGCCAGGTATGATTTCCTCTTCGTGAGGCCGTGCTGACTATGCTTGATGAGATTATGATTTCCCAAATGTGCTGCAATTATTTCCTTAATAATTAATTCTAATACTTTTTCAACAATAGATATTAGATGAATTGGCCCATAGTTACCTGCTTCTAGCCTCCCTCCCCTTTGAATAGGGGTGTAATATTATCAGTTTTCCAAAACTCTGGTACTTCTCCAGAAAGCACTATTTTTTGGAAAATTACAGCCAATGCATCCACTATCTCTTTAGGTACCTGTTTTAGGATCCTATGATACAGGCCATCAGGATCAGGGAATTTATCTGCTTTTAGCCTCAGTTATTTCCAAACCAAGTTTCTCATTTTTAAACTGAATATTAAATTCTACATCATGTTATGATCACTACTTCCTAGGGGTTCTTTTACTCTGAGGTCATTTTTATACTTGTTGCATTTCCCATTACCAATCCAAGATACCTGCCTCCTGGTTGGCTCTATGACATATTGCTCTAGGAACTAACCATGATGCACTCTATGGATTTGTTGTCATAGCTAAACTTTACAACTTGATTAACCCAATCAACATGAAGATTAAAGTCACCCATAATTATTGTTCTGTTCTTTTTATATGCTCCTATTAAATCTCCTATTGGAGAGATAAGGACTCATTTGGGATAGTCAGCATGGCTTTATGCATGGAAAATAGTGTTTCATGAACTTGATTGAATGTTTTGAAGGTGTGACCAAGAAAGTAGATGCGGGCAGTGTGGTAGATGTTGTCTACAGGGACTTTAGCATGGCTTTTGACAAGGTACCACATGGTAGGTTGTTGAGTAAGTTTAAACCTCTTAGGATCCAGGGAAAGCTAGCTCTTTGGAGACAAAATTGGCTTGACAGTAAAAGACACAGGGTGGTAGTAGAGGGTTTTTTTTCATCTGGGGGCCTGTGACCAGCAGTGTGCCACAGGATCAGTATTCATCACTTATATAAATGATATCAATGAGATTTTAGGAGATATGGTTAGTGAGTTTGCAGATTACACCAAAATTGATTGTTTTGTGCACAGTGAAGAAGGTTATCAGGCTATCATAGTAACCATCCCAGCACACACAAATGAAGCTGCGTGCGAACACTATTTAAAAGGGCAACAACACACTGCAGCAACATGGAACTACGCCAAGAGGAGGAGGAATACCTCTTCCAAGTGTTCAAGGATAATGGATATCCAAAGAGCTGGGTCAGGAGATGCCTACAGGCACGGCATCAGAAAGATTCTACACGACCCGACACACTCATCACACTACCCTACATCAGGAACACGTCAGAACTCACCACAAGATTTCTACGACCACTGGGCATCAGAGTGGCACACAAACCCACATTAACCCTATGACAAGTGCTCACCCGAACTAAAGACCCACTCCCCGCCGTGGACAGGACCAATGTCATCTACAAGATCCCCTGCAGAGACTGCGAGAAACACTACATCGGACAAACAGGAAGGAAACTAACAACAAGAGTACATGAACACCAACTGGCTACAAAAAGACATGACCAGTACTCACTCACCTCAATCCACATGGACGAGGAGAACCACGACTTCGACTGGGACAACACCAAGATCCTGGGACAGGCTAGGCAGAGACAAGCACGAGAATTCCTGGAAGCATGGCACTCCACGAAGCAGGCTATTAATAAACACATTGAACTCGACCCCATATACATTCCACTACGGAGGAAACCCGGAAGTGAGGCAATCCATCGCAACGGACCCCAGAGTTTAAAAACCAGGTGGGAAAACACACCGACGCTTCATCAGAGGCTGCACTGAGGATGTTACCAAGCACGGTAATGAAACGTCTGCGGAACAACAAACCAGCTCAGTGAGCCAACCAACCTCAATACCCGCAACCCGAGCTACAGATCTACTCCAAAACCTTAAAGGTTATCAGGGAATGCAGTGGGCTAAAGAATGGCAGATGAGGATTTAATTTAGATAGATGCAAGGTGTTGCATTTTGGGGGGTCAAACCAGGGCAGGACTTATACAGTCGACGGTAGTGCCCTGGGGAGTGTTATTGAACAAAGAGATCTAGGGGTACAGGTTCATAGCTTATTGAAAATGGAGTCACAGGTACACTTGGTGTGAAGAAGGTTTTCAGTATGCATGTTTTCATCAGTCAGAGTATTGAGTATAGGAGTTGAGACATTATGTTGTGGCTGTACAAAATATTGGTAAGGCCGCACTTGGAGTACTGCATGTAGTTCTGGTCACCCTACTATAGAAAGGCTATTATTAAACTAGAAAGAGTGCAGTAAAGAATTACTAGGATACTACCTGGACTGGAATGTTTGATTATAAGGAAAGGTTAGATAGGCTGAGACTGTTTTCTGTGGAGCATGTGAGACTGAGGGGTGACCTTATAGAGATCAAGAGACTCATGAGACACATAGATAAGGTAGATAACCGAGACAACAAGGTACAGGGCTGGATGAACACAGCAGGCCAAGCAGCATCATAGGAGCAGAAGGTAGATAACCAACAGCTTTTCCCCATGGTAGGGAAGTCTAAAACTAGAGGTCATATGTTTAAGTTGAGAGGGGAGAGATGCAAAAGGGTTCAAAGGAGCAATTTTTTCATACCGAGGGTGTTGAGTGACTGTAACAGGTTGCCAGGGATAGTGGTGGAACTGAGTACATTTTTGTCATTTAAGAAACATTAAGACAATACATGGATAGAATTCTGAAACACTACAGTCCAGCACTTATGATCACAAGCACATTTACTCAACCGATGTCAGATGGTCTATTGAATGTGATTTCCTGCAAGTCAATACCATTTCCAGGCAGCAGTTAAAAAATATTTAGTTTGAGGTAACTCTCTGTGTAGATCATTTGAAAGAGAAGACAATTTTTGAAGATTGTCCCTGGGATATGGCTAATGATACTTTCAAGATACCTGTATTCAAAACTGAATGTAGGTTCAATGGTTTGATGCATTTATCTGCCTAATGGCAGAGCAGGCTGTTAACATTTTCCATCAGCGCTTGGGGACACTTACACTTGGGGCGGCATGGTGTCTCAGTGGTTAGCACTGCTGCCTCACAGCAGCAGGGACCCTGGCTCAATTCCAGCCTCGGGTGGCTGTCTGTGTGGAGTTTGTATATTCTCCCCGTGTCTGCATGGGTTTCCTCCGGATGCTCCAGTTTCCTCCCACAGTCTAAAGATGTGCAGGTTAGGTGGATTGGCAGTGCTAAATTGCCCATGGTGTCCAGGGATGTGTAGGTTAGGTGGATTAACCATGGGAAATGCTGGGTTAGAGGGATAGGGTAGTGGGGGTGAGTCTGGGTGGGATGCTTGTCAGAGAGTTGGTGTGGACTTGTTGGACTGAATGGCCTGTTTCCATACTGTAGGGATTCCATGAATACTGCCTCATAAGGGACACAAAGATCAATAACACATTTTAGATGCTCCATGGATTTGGCATTTCAAGGGCGTAATTTTAGTCTTTATTATAAGACCACACTGCTATTAAACTTTAGGATGTTGCTGATTTACTTTTTTTGTGTGGTTAACCTTATCTCACAAACACACTTACTGGACTAGGTTTGTGGGAAAATCGTGATCATATTGCCACAGAACGAATTAACTTACAATTAAAGCTCATCCTTCCATCTGCAATAACTTTCTTCTGTCCAAAAAGGAAGAAATTTTTTGAATAAATTTGAAATAAAATGCAATTATTTTGTTTCCCCAAATATGATCAGTTGTTATGTGGTCAGTGTTTTGGCATCTTGTGATTCTCCTAGGGGACGGTCCTTTCAGATATTTCCCCAGTATTAGGAATAAGAGACATAGCATAGCAGTGTGACCCTTTTGTGACTGAGATGGTTTTCTACTTCTTTACGCCAGATCTTAAAGTGCGTGTATCACTGTTGTAGTGGTGACTGTCAAGTCCCGTTCACTTTCTGGTACATTTGCAATCATTTGACAAGGTGTTTGATGGGTTGAATGTGACATCACCCAAAAAGACAACAGATTTGTCCATTTCCTGCAGAAAAGCTGGCAGAGATAAAAGAAAAATCTCAGTCAAAATGGTAAACAACATAAATCAATGAAAAATGTTCTTTATGAAGATTTGTTGAGATTGCAGTTAAATAAATATGAACCAAAAATGTAATCTGTTTTGACAGAGTTTCAAATCCATGAGATTCATAATATGTATGAATGCAAACGCAAAGTTAATTGCAATTATTGCTAAGCACAATTGTTTCTATTCTCTAAGGATAAACACTCAGCTTTTTACTCAGGTGATTTTATTTTACAACTAATGCAAATTCTTGTAGATATCACAGTTTCTGTCCTGAAATAGTATTTTTAGCTAATGTTAGCAGAATTTGTTTCATTTGACTTACTTAAAAGCTATACCAAACCCACTGTTTTTATTTTAACTTTCTATGTACTAAAGGGAAGTGAGGGAACTGAATCCCCCAGAGGTGGCAAATTCTGTATTACAGTATGCAGCATGGGGCATAGCAGGACAGCAACTGGTAAGAGCTCCTTTTTACATTTGCATTGCTCATGATCTTTTTTAAGGAGTGTAGCTGCAAGAACTGCTCATTGTTTCACTTTGCTAGTTTAAAACAGCACTGGAATATTAATATGTATAACTCGTTAATAATATTATTAGAGTCATAGAGATATACAGCACAGAAACACACCCTTTGGTCCAACTTGTCTACGCTGACCAGACGTGCTAAATAAATCTAGTCCCATTTGCCAGCATTTGGCCCATATCCTTATAAACCCTTCCTGTTCAATACCCATCCAGATACCTTTTAAATGTTCTGATTGTACCAGCAACCACCACTTTCTCTGGCAGCTCATTCCATACATGCAGTAGCCTCTGCATGAAAAAGTTGCCCCTTGGGTCCCTTTTAAATCTTTCCCCTCTCTCCTTAAATCTATGCTTCCAGTTTTGGACTCCCCCACTCTGGGGAAAAGACCTTGTCCATTTACCCCATCTATGCCCCTTATGATTTTATAAATCTCTATAAGGTCACCCCTCAGCCTCTGATGCTCCAGGGAAAATAGCCCCAGCCTATTCAGCCTCTCCCTGAAGCTCAAACCCTCCAACCCTGGCAACATCCTCGTACATCTATTCTGAATCCTTCCAAGTTTCACAACATCCGTCCTACAGCAGGGAGACCAGAATTACATGCAGTATTTCAAGAGTGGCCTAACCAATGTCCTGTACAGCTGCAACATGACCTGCCAACTCCTATACTCATTGCACTGATCAATAAAGGCAAGCATACCAAATGCCTTCTTCACTATCCTATTTACCTGTGACTCTGCTTTCAAGAAAATATGAATCTACACTCCAAGGTCTTTTAGTTCAGCAACACTCCCCAGGACCTTACAATTAAGTATATAAATCCTGCCCTGATTTGCCTTTAAACAAAATAATCTAGATATTAGATGCGGTTGACTCTTAAATACTCTCTGGGCAATTAGGGATGGGCAGTAAATGCTGCCCAGCCAGTGATGCTCTTATCCTGTGAATGAATGAAGAAAAAGAAATACTTAGAGTGAGAATGTCATTCTTTTACTTTAGTTGTCATTGTTCTGAATTCAGTCAAGTATGACTGAACTGCAAAGTTTCTTCACTCTCAGAATTGTTAGAATCTGATATGAAATTAGTGACCAGACTTAGCTAACACATTGAAACCGATAATAATTTGGTCCTCATAAACTAATAGACCAATTTAAATCATAGAGACAAAACCAAATTATGAAAATTGAAATGTATCATTGCTACCACATGGGTTGCCTTTGGGGGTTTGTATTAAAGCCTGCTGCTGTCACAACCTTGACTTCCTTAGTTACTGGATGGTGCCTAATGATTAGCCTGAGTGACAAAAATAAAGAAATATACCACTCCAAAAGATGAATAAAATTAATTTTACAAAATCAACTCTCCCTTGCATGAAAATTGCTTTCTATTTTACAGTGGTATAATCTTATAGAAATGGGTACCTTGAATGTTTGAAATATGACATTGAGAAAAGGAATTGTCGCAATTGTAAGACATGAAACATTCTCATGTATCTCAACAATATGCTTCAGGCAATTGTATATCCCTGAGATAGAATTCATCTTGACTCACTCTATCTTGTTTAATTGTCCAGTCAAAATAGACTATTTGCTGCCACATAAAGTCAACTTGAGAAAATAAAATTAGTTGACTTTGTTTACTCATATGTTACATTGGGAAGTTGAGTGACAATTCCTTATTCAGCAGATGCTAGGCAAGAGTTGGTTAAACTGAAAGATAAATGTTAAGTTGCACAGATCTCCAGAGTGAATCTGTTTTATTTCAGTTGTGATTTGGCTTGAGTAGTTATTTGCCATAACTGTTATATATAAATGTTTGTATGTAACTGTTTAAAACCATTGGAACCTGCAAGTTCCCCTCCAAGCCACTCACCATCCTGACTTGGAAATATATCACTGTCCCTTTACTGTGACTGGGTCACATTCCTGGAATTCCATCCCTAAGGACAGCACATGGTCTGCAGCAGTTCAAGAAGGTAACCCACCTCCAACTTCTCAAGGGCGATGAGGGACAGGCAATAAATGCTCACCACCTGGCGACATCCATGTCCTGCAAGTGATTATAGAAAAATAAAAACAACAAAAACTGAACTTAAAAGTGCGTCAAATCATTGTTTTACATGGATTCTCCAGTGCAATCAACGCTAAATATAACATTGCCTCAGCTATTGGATCATGTCCTCTGCCCAGACATAACAACCAAGAGATTTCTTGATTTTAGACTTGACCATTAAAATGAAGATTTGGAAATCTGACTATATATGCTATATAGCTGGAATTTATTGAATTTCAAAAGTAGGTACACCCTGACATCAACAGTCAGTGTAAATTTTATCAGTTTTTGTTGTTATTAGAACACTGAGTTGCATTTAAGACAACTGAGGTTATTGACTTGCGTGCTTTTGTTCAGATGTTTCATCACCATGCTAGGTGACATCATCAATGGAGCCTCCGATGAAGCAATGTTATTCTACTCTGCTTGGAATTTATATTGTCCAGTACGTTATGGTCCAATTCTATATGTTTGTTGATTGAAGTATGGGCGGAGAACCATGCCTCTAGGAATTCCCATGCGTGTCGATGTTTGGCTTACGCTACTATGGTTACTTTGTTCCAGTTAAGCTGATGGCCTTCATTGTCTGAGTGTACCGATATTAAGGAGAGTTCATCGTGCCATTTTGCTGCTAGCTGATGTTCTGTACTCTGATACGTGTATTCTGATGGCTATTTTCCTTCCTGTATGTCTGATGTAATGTGGCAGTCGTTGCATGGTATTTTGTAAACCACATTCATTCTGCATGTTGTGGGAATGGGGTCTTTAATCCTCGTAAGAGTTTGCCATAGAGTGGCTGTGGGCTTGTGGGCCACCACGATTCCTAGTGGTCTTAGGAGTCTTGTTGTCAGTTCCGATATGTTCCTGATGTAGGGAAGTCTGGTCCGTGTGTTAGGTTGTATTGTGTTTTCCTATTGTTGTCTGTAATGTAGGCATCTGTGAATGAAGTTGTGGGGATATCCGTTTAAAGCGAGGATCTTGTATAAGTGCTTTTCCTCTTTCTGGCGTAATTCTAGAGTGTTGCAGTGTGTCCTGGCCCGTTTAAATAGTGTTCTAATGTAGCTTTGTTTGTGGACATTGGGGTGGTTGCTGTGGAAGTTGAGGATTTGATCTGTATGGGTTGCTTTTCTGTATACTGAGGTTTGGAACTTCCCATTTATCAGCTAGCATCAGCTAGCAGCAAAACGGCACGATGAACTCTCCTTAATATTGGTACATTCAGACAATGAAGGCCATCAGTTTAACTGGGACAAAGTAACCATAGTAGCCCAAGCCAAACATAGACACGCACGGGAATTCCTAGAGGCATGGTTCTCCGCCCATACTTCAATCAACAAACGTATAGAATTGGATCCCACATGTAAACCCATACAAATCAAAACCGAAAATAACAGTACTCACCATAACGGACTGAACAGTATAAATTCCAAGCGGAGTAGAATAACATTGCTTCATTGGTGGCTCCTTCTTCCTTCTATAAGATAATCAATGCTGTGCTCAGTATTCCAGATGCAGTCTCACCACTACCCTGTATAACTGAAGTGTAATGTCCTTACTTTTGTGTTCAATTGCCCTCAAAATAACTGCTAACATTCTGTTAATTTTCCACATTACCTACTGTATCTATGTGCTAACCTTTTGTGAATCATGCACAAGTACACGTAGACCTCTTTGTATCCCACGGCTCTGCAATCTCTCAACATTCAGATTGGATGCTTGTTTATCTTCCTTTCAAAGTGGATAATTTCACATTTTCCCACATTTTATTGTACTTACCACATTACTAAGCCTATTTGTATCTTTTATGTAACCTCTGTATGGAATCTTCAAAACTTATTTTCATGTTTTCGTATCATCAGCAACTTTGGCAACCATACATTACCTCCCTCCATCAAAGTCATTTATATAAATTGTAAACAATTGAGTTTCCAGCATCAATCCCTGATTTAACACTTGTTAGATCTTGCCAACCTGAAAAAAAGACCTATTTATGCCTATTCTCTGCTTTCTGTTAACTGGCCAATCTTCTCTCCATACCAGTATGCTACCCGCTACATGCTGACCTTTTATTTTCCAAAATATAATTTAATGTGAAACTTTATCAATTGTCTTTTGGAAATCAAAGTGCAATACAGATACAAATTCCCCATTATCCACAGCATGTGTTACCATCTCAAAAACTCCAATTGATTGGTCAAACACAATTTCACTTTCAGAAAAACATGTTGATTCTGTCTGAATACCTTAAACTTTTCCAGGTGCTGTGTTGTAACTTCTTTAATACTGGCATCTAACATTTTAACTTAGATGGATATTCAGCTAATTGATCTGCTGCTTCCTATTTTCTGTCTCCCCTTTTGAATAAAGGAGTTACATTCACTATCTTCCAATCCAGTGGAACTATACTGAATCAAGGAAGGCTTGGAAAAGTAAAAAACAATGCAACAAATATCTCACTGGTCCCTCTGTTCTATTTCCTGATTTATCACTGCTTCTTGGGTGTTACTTGTGTCATCTAGTGGAAGTACATCTGTGTCATCTGTTCAATTTATGTGCCATTTCCTATTTTCCATGATTAGTTTTCCATTCTCACTTTCTATTGAACCAGAGTTCACTTTATTAACTCTTAAAGTCTTGAAATATTTAGAGAAACTCTTACAATATGTTTTTTTTAATGTATGGCCAGCTTTCTCACACACTAATATTTTTCTCCAGATCAATCTTTTGGACATTCTTTGTTTCGTTTTATATTCTGTCTAATCTTCTAACCCACCACTGTCCTTCCCCATAATTATATATTTTTTCTTCATTTTAATACTATTTCTAACATTTCCAGTTAGCAGTAGATGCTGCATCCATCCTTTGGAACTTTTCTTAAAC